TAAATCGTCTCAAGGACCCAATTTTTAGCTCATGCCTAGGCTGACCTGTGAAGTGGAGCACTTGTGTTCACAAGCCTTTGGGAATRTCTGGGCTGCTGTGGAGAGGTTGAAGAAGCAGGCTGGACCAGGAGCCAGAGGATGGGTGTGAGGCTTGGTTAGGATAGGGTTAAGAATTTGGATCTCACAATGATTGTGGTAGGAAGCTACTGGAGGGATTTTAATTAGGATAATGTCATAGAATGACTTATGTCTTAAAAGTATGGCTCTTGACTGTGGTGTTGATGATAGATTGTAAGGAGGCAAGAGCACAAAACGAGTAATCAACCAGATGCCTATTTTTAGATGTCCGTGTAAGAAAATGATAGTGGCTTTGGATCAGCATGGTAACAGGGTGGAGAAATGTGGACAAATAAAAGATGAGTTCATGGATTAGATATGGGGCACATGGGAATGGACAAATCAAGATTAATTTCTGGTCTAAACAACTGGAAGAATTTGGTGCCGGTTAGATGAAGACTGGAGGAAGGGTGTGATGATTGTTGTCTTGTTGAGGGGTGGGACAGAGAGCAAGGGCTTGTGCTTACTTGGTGATGTCTRGGTGGCACAGGCCTAATGAGCTATTGAATATAGGACTTCAACTCAGTAGATAAACTTGAAAATTCTTGATGGAGAGATGGCACTCAGTCATGGAATAAAGGAACTTGCCTAAGGAGAGCATAGAGAGAGAAGATAGAAGCCCAGGGAACATTCTGTATTTCCACATAAACAAGGCAATCRGAGGAGAATTAATAAGGACTAAGGAGCAGCAGTAAGAAAGGAAAAAATAGAATGTGGTGTTTTGGAAACCAGGAGCAGAATCGTACATGAGGAAGTTGATAGTTGTGTGCTACTGTGATGTGGAGTAAGATGACAGATGATACTGCTATTTGGGGCATCAGGAAAGTTTTTGGTGATACTGACAAAGGCAGTTTTGTATATCCTACAGGGAAGAGCTCAGAGTGAATTGAGAAGAGACTGTAAAGGGAGAATTTAATCAAGCTATTTAATCAAGAGTCAGCAGGATTTTTTTTTCTCTCATGCTCTTAAGATGGGCAATATTGGAGCATTGGTGCTTATCAAGTTGATCTAATAGAACCTGATGAAGTCGAGAGGAAATAATTGCAGGGACATTTCTGGAATACATAAATCTATGAAATATAGAGCACAGTGAAGAACTTGGCCTTAGATAAGGGCAGAAAGGAAGAGTGGTCAATGGTTTGAATTGGTGGTGAGACAAAGAGAGGCATCCATAACTAATCAAAACTAATTGATGAAACAAGAATATTAGCTGAGGGAAATTGGAAACTGGGATGGTGGCAATTGAGAAGGTTGCAAATGTTGGAGTCCTGGGGAGCAGGAATGTAAAGTTTTCATAGGAAAGTGGACAAAGAATGTGCCAAAGTTAACTTAAACAAGATGATTTCAATTAATTTTGCTTGGGAAGAGACTAGGATTAAGATTATTTTCATACTAAGAAAATGAATTTACCATTTATAATTGCCCCATTCAGAGATGATTGTTGTGATACATTTATACTTGCAAATACATCTGTAGAAATAAATATAAAAGAAAAATGCTATTTTTTTTAGAGAGGAGAGGGGAGAGAGAATTTTTTAATATTCATTTTTTTTCAGTTTTCGGTGGACACAACATCTTTATTTTTATGTGGTGCTGAGTATTGAATCCAGCGCCCCATGCATGCCAGGCGAGCGCGTTACCACCTGAGCCATATCCCCAGCCCAGAAAAATGCTATTTTAACAGTTTTCACTTAGTTTCCATCCCTTTCAGAGCATAGCTAAAATACTTGACTATTAGTGGAAACTTTTGTTATACTGCAAATGTTTTTCCTGTTTTACTATTTCTGTGGCTTTTTTGATTTTTATGTAGACATATGTCTGATAGAATATGGTAATTGAAAAAGCCTTCTAAGGTTATATGTTACATTATTCTAATTTTTACAATGTGAACATGAAACTATAAATCACCAGGTTTTATTTTGAGAGTCTAGTTTTACTTTCTGGGATACTCGGTTATCATTCTAAAATCTCATATCTTACAACAGATTTAGAATGTATTCMTTCAATGGTAGGACTGCCAAATGATTTTTTTAAAATTTTGTTTAARRWWTWWYAWA